TTTTTTTTTTCTTTTTTCAAATATCGCCATCCAATTTCGATTGATTCGATTAATAAAGCAGATCGATCGTGCGCTCGTAAACGTTCCTCTCTCTCTCTCTCTCTCTCTCTCTCTCCGTTCTCGACGATATGTAAAGTCCAGTATACATACTCGAGTCGTTTATCCTTTAACCCTTTGCACTCGTATGTCGCCATATAGGCGACATTATACATTATTTGGGGTCAAATTATAGCCAGATAATATTACATAATATTCATTTAATTAAAATTTATTTACAATTAATTAAAATAATGTTTTCAAGAAATATAATGTCCCTAACATGTTACACAGATTTTCATATTTCAAAAGAGTGTGAGATGCGGATTAAATATGTTTATTTGCTAATTTTTTCTACTAAACCGAAAAATTTTAATTTACGTTATGTTCGCATAAAAATATTTTCCTTTTGATTGATTATGAAAAAAAATTTCGAGTTGATATCCTTATCGAATATATATATATATATATACGAGTGCAAAGGGTTAAGGTAGTTAGTTAACAAAAAAAAAAAAAGAAAAAGATAACAAATAATCCAGATCCAACTGAAGAGATACAGATATAGTCCACGGAGCTCCCTTTGTTCACGTTTCTCGCGAACAGCTCTTGGTCTCGATGATTAAAAAAAAAAAAGAAAATAAAGAAAATCCCAAAAGCGCAACGACATATATCTAATCTTATCCATCGATCTAAAACCATCGTAAACCAAGAAACAAATGTCGAACGTAAGGAGGATGGGGGGAGGAGCAGAAAAGAAAGAAAGAAAAGAAACAAAGTGATTGTTCGGGACTGGAAAGATGCAAAAAAAAAAAAAAACCAAGAATAATTGCAAAAAACGTATTTTTATTACGATCGAGAACGTACGCACGTGACCTCGGATCAAAGTAAAAATATCAGAAACCAAGGAAGAGGAGAGAGAGAGAGAGAGAGAGAAGAAAACAAAGATATAAGATAAATTCGTGATGGAGTCGAGCATCATCCCGTCGCGTCGAACGGATGAAAACGCACGAAATATCTCTCTCTCTCTCTCTCTCTCTCTCCTTGCTGGGGAGGGGGGATCGTTCGCTTATTCGAAACGAAATATATAAGGTTAATATTGATATATAAATCGCAAGGTGTTAAGGAGAGAGGGGAAAAAAGGCGAGAAAATAATAATAATAATAACAATAATAGTAATAATAATAGTAATAATAATGATAATAACGATCGAAGCTGACGAAAAAAGGGGTACCGAAAGGACTGCATCTAATTCTAATTATCGGTCGAATCCAACTTCTCGATCAGATTCGCCCTTATCACGGATTTAAGCTCTAGTTATTGCTTTGTAATACACGTCGCTTAAAGGTGAAAACAAATCTTTTTTAAAACTCTCATCCGCTTCCCGAGTACCGTTCGCCATATTGATATATATATATATATCGAGGAGATGGCCTTTTAACATCTCGTCTTCCCTTCGACGATAAAAATATATTGGTATTATATATGTGTATATATATATATATATATATACGTGTGCATATGTATGCATATATCGTGTATAACGATAATTCGTATATCGCGCCTGTGCAAAAGGATGGAAAATGGTTTTTTCGAAAAATGAACATCGAGTTTCGTCACAGCCCGCAATTTTTAGATTTTAGAAGATTTTGCACGAGAAGGCGCATCGAGAATTCGAAGTCGTATTAATCCGTGGAAAGAACGGAGGAGGAGAATTGTCGAGCCCCTCCCTCCTCACGCGAGAGGGGAAATATTAATTAGAGACGACGGGCATGTAGAACTTGTGCTTGGGCGTGTCCCTGGTGTGCTTGAACGGCGCCTGCTTCGCCTCGATGAGAGCCGCTGGACAAGGCCCCTTGTGCCTAGGCGCGTACTCCCTCCTGTACATGCTCGACGTGACCGTGGTCCCGTCCCCCAGACTGATGTGAGACACGTTCGCCTGCCTGTGCACCCGTTCCACCTTCTGGCTGCCGAAATTCCCGTAGCTCCTCGCCTCGCTCTGGGAATAAAACTTGCCACCGACCGTCAAGTTGTCCTGGCGGACGATCCTCTGCGGCCGCTCGTACGTGGACGACGCCCAAGGGTTGCCCTCTTTGGCGCTCCTGTGCAACGAGGTGAGGCTTCGTCGGTCGCTGCTCTGGCTCGAGTTGCTTATATATTGGCCGGTCTCCGCCAGGTTCGAGATGCTCTTCTTCTGATCGGCGGCCGTGGACGATATCGTGTGCAGGGCTTCCGTGGAGGAAGCGCTACCGCCCCGTCTGTGGAGGACCGAGTTGGTCACGTCGGCGGAGGAGGACGAGATCACGTTCTTCCTGTGGTGGCTGGTCCTGGTGGTGACCGAGGCTGCGTCCATCTCCGACCTTCCGGAGATCGCTTGCCTGAACTCGGCGCTGCTGCTCGCCTGGCTCGAGTTGTAGCGCCGAGCCTCGAGGCTCGACACCTCGTGCCTCTGCCGCGATTCCACGTGCTGCGCGTTCACGTAGTCCCGCCTGCTCGCCTCCTGGTGATGGTGTCTCTCGAGTTGCTTGCCTCCCTCGTCCACGACTCGACGCGTCTGCGTCGCGTGCCTCTCGCTCGAATCCCTCTCGCGTCGCTGCGTGATCGAACGTTTCCCGCTCGAGTCAGGGAGTTCGCAGGGGATCGAGGCGCCGTTGCGATGCTCCGTCGTTATTCGTTGACACGTTTTCTCGGACGCCCTCCTCACGCTCGTCGCCCCGTTCTCCACTCCGCTCCTTCGACCCGCCGCTTCCTCCGACTCCACGCCACTCATCCTGGCGGCCACCTCCTTGGCGGCGCGTTTCGTGAAAGTGTTGTAATTCCTCTGAGAGGTGGTGGTGGTGGCGGTGGCGGTGGTGGAGGACGCGATCGAGTCGTCGCCCAACGCGATCGAGGACTCCATGTGATGTTTCCGGCCGAGCGGCGTCCGCCGCCCCCCCGAGGACTCCTCCCTCTTGGGGGAGAACGCGTCCCCCGTGGTCGTGTTGGTTTCCATGGCGTGGCCCGTGCTCACCTTCAAGTTGTCCTCGTGCCGCTTGATCTCCGCTCGCTCCCCCCGCACCACCGTGTACGTGGACCTCTGCGAGGTCGTGTCCTGGAACTCGCCCCCCCCTACCCTCAGATTGTCCTCCCGCCGCGCCACCTCCGCCCTCTCCCCCCTCCCCTTCGCCCCAAAGTCGTCGCGAGCCCTGCCGACGAACTCGCCCTCGGGCCTCAAGTTGTCCGCCCGGCGGATAGGCGATCTCCTGCCACCCATCTCAGCCCTCGACTCGTAATCGTTCCTGCGCTCCACGCACAACTCGCCCTCGATCCTCAGGTTGTCCTCCCGCTTCCTCGCCACGCTCACCCTCTCCACCTTCCTGTAATCGTCCCTCGACCGACGAACCATCTCCTCCGTCCTCGGCCCCGAGTCGTCCTTGGCCGCCACGCACAGCTCGCCCTCGGGGCGCAGGTTGTCCCGAGGCTTCCTCAGCCTGCCAGCCGCCTCCACGCGCTCCGTCACTCTCGCCACGCTCCTCCTGTAGTCCTCCCTGCGCACCGTCGTCTCCGACTTGACCCTCGCGCGGTCCTCCACCTCCTGCCTCCTCTGGATCGTCGACTCACCCTCGACGAGTTTCCAGCTGTCCTCGTGCCTGACAGGCGAGCGCCTCTCGGCGGCTTTCTTCTCACCTTCTCCCACGTCCACGCGCTCCCCTCTCACTACTTTGAAATCGTCCCTGGTTCTAACGTCGATAAACTCGCCCTCCGTCTTTAAATTGTCCCTGTGCTTGGTCACCTCGGTCCTCTCGCGGATCAGCAAGTCGGCGTACTCGTCCCTCGACCGATAAGTCTCCATTTCGCCTTCCATTCGAAGATTGTCGCTTCGCTTCACGATCTCCACTCGCTCGCCTCGGACCGGTTGATAGTCGTCCTTGGGGCGGCCCTCGAAGGCGCCTTCGGGTTTCAAGTTGTCCCTGGGTTTCTTCACGATGGGTTTCTCGGCCGGTTTGAACTGTTCAGGTTGCGGTCTCTCGAACCCGCCTTCCGGTTTCAAGTTGTCCGCGTGTTTTATGGGGGTCCTTCTTTCGGCAGGGCCGACGGGTTTCTTTTTGGGAACTTCGAACTCACCCTCGGGGTAGAGATTGTCCTTGGGTTTCTTCACGTCCGCTCTTTCGCCCCTTCGTGGAGCCTCTTCCTTTGGACGAGTGGCGAACTCGCCTTCCGGTTTCAAGTTGTCTTCGTGTTTTATGGGGGTTCTTCTTTCTGCAGGACTGACGAGTTTCTTTTCTAGGATCTCGAATTCTCCTTCTGGGTAAAGATTGTCCTTGGGTTTCTTCACGATCGGTTTCTCGGCCGGTTTGAACTCTTTCGGTTTCGGTCTCTCGAACTCTCCTTCCGGTTTCAGATTGTCTTCGTGTTTTATGGGGGTTCTTCTTTCTGCAGGACTGACAGGTTTCTTTTCTGGGATTTCGAACTCTCCTTCTGGGTACAGATTATCTTTAGGTTTCTTCGTGATTGATTTCTCGGCCGGTTTGAACTCTTCAGGTTTCCGTCTTTCGAATTCACCTTCCGGTTTCAAGTTATCGGCGTGTTTTATGGGGGTTCTTCTTTCGGCAGGACTGACAGGTTTCTTTTCTGGGATCTCGAATTCTCCTTCTGGGTAAAGATTGTCCTTGGGTTTCTTCACGATCGGTTTCTCGGCCGGTTTGAACTCTTTCGGTTTCGGTCTCTCGAACTCTCCTTCCGGTTTCAGATTGTCTTCGTGTTTGATCGGCGTTCTTCTTTCGGCAGGGCCGACGGGTTTCTTTTTGGGAACTTCGAACTCTCCTTCGGGGTACAAATTGTCCTTGGGTTTCTTCACGTCGGCTCTTTCGCCCTTTCGTGGAGCTTCTTCCTTGGGACGAGTGGCAAAGTCGCCCTCCGGTTTCAGATTGTCCTTGGGTTTCTTCACGATCGGTTTCTCGGCCGGTTTGAACTCTTCAGGTTTCGGTCTCTCGAACTCTCCTTCCGGTTTCAGATTGTCTTCGTGTTTGATCGGCGTTCTTCTTTCGGCAGGGCCGACGGGTTTCTTTTTGGGAACTTCGAACTCTCCTTCGGGGTACAAATTGTCCTTGGGTTTCTTCACGATCGGTTTCTCGGCCGGTTTGAACTCTTCAGGTTTCGGTCTTTCGAATTCACCTTCCGGTTTCAAGTTATCCGCGTGTTTTATGGGGGTTCTTCTTTCTGCAGGGCTGACGGGTTTCTTTTCTGGAATTTGAAATTCTCCTTCGGGGTACAAATTGTCCTTGGGTTTCTTCACGATCGGTTTCTCGGCCGGTTTGAACTGTTCAGGTTGAGGTCTCTCGAACTCGCCCTCGGGACGTAGATTGTCTTCGTGTTTGATGGGGGTTCTTCTTTCGGCAGGGCCGACGGGTTTCTTTTTGGGAACTTCGAACTCTCCTTCTGGATAAAGATTGTCCTTGGGTTTCTTGACATCCGCTCTTTCACCCTTTCGTGGAGCTTCCTCCTTCGGTCGAGTCGCAAACTCGCCCTCCGGTTTCAAATTATCCGCGTGTTTTATGGGGGTTCTTCTTTCGGCAGGGCCCACAGATTTCTTTTCTGGAATTTGAAATTCTCCTTCTGGATAAAGATTGTCCTTGGGTTTCTTCACGATCGGTTTCTCAGCCGGCTTGAACTCTTCAGGTTGCGGTCTTTCAAACTCGCCTTCCGGTTTCAAGTTATCGGCGTGTTTTATGGGGGTTCTTCTTTCTGCAGGGCTCACGGGTTTCTTCTCTGGAATCTCGAACTCTCCTTCGGGTCTTAAATTATCTCGAGGCTTCTTGATGGGCGCGCGTTCTCCGTGTTTCGGCGCCTCCTCCCTCGGCCTGCCGACGAAATCTCCCTCCGGCTTCAGATTATCCTCGGGCCTCTTCGCTTCCGGTCTCTCCAGCTTCTTCGGGGGTGAATAGTCGTCCTTGGGGCGGGCCTCGAAGGGACCCTCCGGTCTGAGGTTGTCTGGATGCCGCACCACGTCCACGCGCTCCCCTCTCACTACTTTGAAATCGTCCCTGGTTCTAACGTCGACGAACTCGCCCTCCATCTTCAAATTGTCCCTGTACTTGGTCACCTCGGTCCTCTCGCGGATCAGGAAGTCGGCGTACTCGTCCCTCGACCGATAAGTCTCCATTTCGCCTTCCATTCGAAGATTGTCGCTTCGCTTCACGATCTCGACTCGCTCGCCTCGGACCGGTTGATAGTCGTCCTTGGGGCGGGCCTCGAAGTCGCCTTCCGGTTTCAGATTGTCCTCCGGCCGCTTCACCGCGGCTCTGTCGCCTTTGGTAGGGGTGAAGTCGTCCTTGGGACGGCCCACGAATTCCCCCTCGGGGCGAAGGTTGTCAGGATGTTTGATCGGGCTACGCCTTTCAGCCGGACCAACCGTAGGCCTCTCCGGCCTCTCGAAGTCGCCCTCGGGGCGCAGATTGTCCTCCGGCCTTCGCACTTCGGGGCGCTCAGCTCTCTTCGGAGAGAAATCGTCCTTTGGACGGCCTTCGAAGGGTCCTTCGGGTCTTAGGTTGTCTTCAGGTCTCTTCACTTCCGGCCTTTCCCCTCGTTTCGGTGAAAAATCGTCTTTAGGCCTCCCCTCGAATGGTCCTTCGGGCTTCAAGTTATCCTGAGGCTTCTTCACATCGGCACGTTCGCCTTTGGTTGGTTTATAGTCATCCTTTGGACGTCCTTCGAAGGATCCTTCCGGTCTTAGGTTGTCTTCAGGTCTCTTCACTTCCGGCCTTTCTCCTCGTTTCGGTGAAAAATCGTCCTTTGGTCGGCCTTCGAACGGTCCTTCCGGCCTTAAATTATCCTGAGGCTTCTTGACTTCAGGACGTTCGGCTGTTTTTGGCGAGAAGTCGTCTTTAGGCCTTCCTTCGAAGAGTCCTTCCGGTCTTAAATTATCCTGAGGCTTCTTGACTTCAGGACGTTCGGCTGTTTTTGGCGAGAAGTCGTCTTTAGGCCTTCCTTCGAACGGTCCTTCCGGTTTTAGGTTATCTTCTGGACGTTTTACATCGGCTCTTTCTCCTCTAGTTGGTTTATAGTCATCCTTTGGACGTCCTTCGAAGGGTCCTTCCGGTCTTAGATTATCCTCTGGACGCTTCACATCGGCTCTTTCTCCTCTAGTTGGTTTATAGTCATCCTTTGGACGTCCTTCGAAGGATCCTTCCGGTCTTAAATTGTCTTCAGGTCTCTTCACGTCAGCCCTTTCTCCTCTAGTTGGTTTATAATCGTCTTTAGGCCTTCCTTCGAACGGTCCTTCCGGTTTTAGGTTATCCTCTGGACGTTTTACGTCGGCCCTTTCTCCTCTGGTTGGCTTGTAATCGTCTTTAGGCCTTCCTTCGAAGGGTCCTTCCGGTTTTAGGTTATCCTCTGGACGTTTTACGTCGGCCCTTTCTCCTCTGGTTGGTTTGTAATCGTCTTTAGGCCTTCCTTCGAAGGGTCCTTCCGGTCTCAGATTATCCTGAGGCTTCTTGACTTCCGGACGTTCGGCCGTCTTCGGCGAGAAATCGTCCTTGGGCCTTCCTTCGAAGGGTCCCTCGGGACGAATATTGTCATCGTGTTTAATAGGTGTTCTACGTTCTGCGGGCGTGAACGGGACGCGTTGCCTATCCGCGAACTCTCCTTCGGGGAACAGATTGTCCGGATGTCGCACGATCGGCGCCCTCTCGCCAGGACCGTAAGGAGCATGGAACGGTCTCTCGAATTCCCCTTCGGGGTGCAAGTTATCCGGGTGTCTAATCGGCGTACGTTTCTCGCCAGGGGTGTACTCGCCCCTAGGCCGATCTTCGAATTCTCCCTCGGGTCGGAGATTGTCTCGTGGCCTCTTCACTTCCGGCCGTTCGGCAGTTTTCGGGGTGAAATCGTCCTTTGGACGTCCCTCGAACGGGCCCTCGGGTCTCAAGTTGTCTTGGGGCCTCCTCACGTCGGCTCTTTCTCCTCTGGTCGGTTTGTAGTCGTCCTTTGGACGGCCTTCGAACGGTCCTTCCGGTCTTAAATTGTCTTCAGGTCTCTTCACATCGGCTCTTTCTCCTCTGGTCGGCTTGTAGTCGTCCTTTGGACGTCCTTCGAAGGGTCCTTCCGGTCTTAAATTGTCCTGAGGCTTCTTGACCTCAGGACGTTCGGCTATTTTCGGTGAGAAATCGTCCTTGGGCCTTCCTTCGAACGGACCTTCCGGCTTCAGATTATCTTCAGGTCTCTTCACATCGGCTCTTTCTCCTCTGGTTGGCTTGTAATCGTCTTTAGGCCTTCCTTCGAAGGGTCCTTCCGGTCTTAAATTGTCCTGAGGCTTCTTGACCTCAGGACGTTCGGCTATTTTCGGTGAGAAATCGTCCTTGGGCCTTCCTTCGAAGGGTCCTTCCGGTCTCAAGTTGTCTTCAGGTCTCTTTACTTCCGGCCTTTCTCCTCGTTTCGGTGAGAAATCGTCCTTTGGACGGCCTTCGAAGGGTCCTTCCGGTCTTAAATTGTCTTCAGGTCTCTTCACATCGGCTCTTTCTCCTCTGGTTGGTTTATAGTCGTCCTTTGGACGGCCTTCGAAGGGTCCTTCCGGTCTCAAGTTGTCCTCTGGTCTCTTTACTTCCGGCCTTTCTCCTCGTTTCGGTGAAAAATCGTCCTTTGGACGGCCTTCGAACGGTCCTTCCGGTTTCAAATTGTCCTGTGGTTTCCTTACTTCTGGCCGTTCCGCAATTTTCGGCTTGTAATCGTCCTTTGGTCGGCCTTCGAAGGGTCCTTCCGGTCTTAGATTATCCTGAGGCTTCTTGACTTCAGGACGTTCGGCTATCTTCGGTGAAAAATCATCTTTAGGCCTTCCCTCGAACGGTCCTTCCGGTTTCAAATTGTCTTCAGGTCTCTTCACGTCGGCCCTTTCCCCTCTAGTTGGTTTATAATCATCCTTAGGTCTTCCCTCAAAAGGTCCTTCCGGTCTCAAGTTGTCTTCAGGTCTCTTCACGTCGGCCCTTTCCCCTCTGGTTGGCTTGTAGTCATCTTTTGGACGACCTTCGAAGGATCCTTCCGGTCTCAAGTTATCTTCAGGCCTCTTCACATCGGCCCTTTCCCCTCTAGTTGGTTTATAATCATCCTTAGGTCTTCCCTCAAAAGGTCCTTCCGGTCTCAAGTTGTCTTCAGGTCTCTTCACATCGGCCCTTTCTCCTCTGGTTGGCTTGTAGTCATCCTTTGGACGACCTTCGAAGGATCCTTCCGGTCTCAAGTTATCTTCAGGTCTCTTTACTTCCGGACGTTCACCTCTGGTTGGCTTATAATCATCCTTAGGTCTTCCTTCAAAGAGTCCTTCAGGTCTCAAGTTGTCTTCAGGTCTCTTCACATCGGCCCTTTCCCCTCTGGTTGGCTTGTAGTCATC